GAGAAATGGATAAATTCAGAATGTATTTTGGAATTCTTGTTGACAAAACTAACTGATGAATTGGGTGTGGCAGGTGACAGAGCAGCATGAAGGGATGACTCCTGAGGTTTTTTGTAATATCTTTTTTTTTTTTTTTTAATTGTGTTTTCGGTGCAAATTCTTGTGGGAAGCTTTTTTTTTATGACCTGCTCAATTTCTTCTTTTGTTATGGATCTATTCAAGTATTCTGTTTCTGACTGGGATAGTTTAGGTAGGTTTTGTGTTTTTAGAATCGGTTGGAGTACAGTTCTTCATAATATTCTGTCAATATCTTTTTTAATTCACTTGGTTCTGCTGTGATGTTGCCCTTTTCATTTATTATTCATATTATTTGCATCTTCTTCTTTTGTTAGATTTGCCAGTAGTTTGTCAATTTTGTTAATCGTTTCAAAGAATCAGCTTCTTGTTTTGTTGATTTTCTCTTTTTTCTGTTTTCTGTTTGTTTCTTTCTTCTCTGATCTTTATTATTTCCTTACTTCTAGATACTGTACGTTTTTGTTGCTCTTTTTCTAGTTGTTTGAGTTGTTGAGTTAGAGTTTTGATTTTATTTCTTTCCTCTTTTTTGATATGTGCATTTATTGCTATAAATTGACCTCTGAGTTTTGCATAGATGCCCTTTATTATGTTGAGGAATGTTCCTTCTATTCCTGTTTTGCTGAGAGTTTTGATCAGGAATGGGTATTGTATTTTATCAAATTCCTTTTTTACATCAATTGATATGATCATGTGGTTCTATTTTTTTCTCTTATTTATATGGTGGATGATGTTGCTTGTTTTTCTAATGTTGAACCATCCTTGCATACCTGATATGAACCCCACTTGGTCATAATGGATTATTATCTTGATATGTTGTTGGAGTCTATTTATGGTAATGTCTTCTTGGTCAGTTGATCCTTTTAGCATCATATAGTGTCCTTCTTTGTCCTTTCTGCTGTTTTCACCTTGAAGTTTATTTTATCAAAAATTAATATTGCCACTCCTGCTCTTTTTTGGTTGCCATTAGCTTGATGTATTTTTTTTTCCACCCCTAATTTTTTAATTTGTTTTTATCTTTATGTCTAAGGTGAGTCTCATAGACAGCATATTGATGGCTCTCTTTTTCTTTTTCAGTCTGCCACTCTCTTTCTCTTGACTGGTGCATTTAGTCCATTCACACTGAGTGTAATTAGTGATAGGTATGAATTTATTGCTGTCATTCTATTGTGTTTTTTGTTGTGTTGTTGGTGATTTCCTTGGTCCAAGTGTTTTTCTGTGCTGAGCTTATTTTGTTATCAAGTGTTTCTTCTCTTTTCTTCTTTACTGCTGGTTTTGTGCTTACTAAGCCCATGTTCTTCTTCTTTCTGGGTTTGCTTAGGGGGATTGTTAATTTTCTTTTTGGTTACCCTGAAGTGAATTCTTGTCTCTTTAATTTTTGAACAGTCAGTTCTATAAAGACGCTGTCCTATCTTCCTCTCTATTTGAATGTTTTGTATTTAGAACTTCTATTCCCGCTGTTTGCTTTTTTGCATAGGTGTCATAGGCAGATTGACTCCCTTGTTTTTTTGTACAATGTTTTATGAGCTTATTTTGAGCATCTATTTCTGATTTGGTTTTTAAGTGTTGATGTCATGTGTCCTGATTTTAATTTGTTGTTCTCTGTTCTGGGTTCTTTATTGGAAGGACTCCTTTTAGCATTTCCTGAGAGTTGGTCTAGTTTTCACAAATTCCCCTAATTTCTGTTTGAGAATGTCTAGATTGTACCCTCATTTGATGGACAGTATGGCTGGATATAGAAATCTTTTTTTTCTTTTTTGTTTTTCATGTACTGTGGTCATTTTGTTAGGAAGTTCCAGTCCCTGGAGAAGGACATGTGCTCAGTACAGGAGAGTCAGAAGATCCTGGATAGAGTGGGAGAACAATATGGATCAAAACTCACATTCATTAAAAAAAAAAAAAAAAAAAAGACAAGGTTTACTGGTCTGATAGAACCTGGTGAGACTCCTGAGACTATTGGCCCCTATTTACCCCTCAGCTCTGGAACTGAACTCACTCCCATGGTTAGGGGAACTCTGGTAGCGTAGTACCTAAGGCACTTGCCTGCTAACCAGAAGGCTCGTGGTTCAAACCCACCAGCCACTCCTTGGAAGGAAGGTTGGGCAATCTACTTCTGTGCTGATACTGCCTCGGAAACCCAA